TTGCCATAACCCATGTGAATGCACATCAGAGGGGCAATTCTTTTGAAAGTGTGGGAAATAAGATTGTGGATGAGGAAGTCAAGAGGGCAGCAAATGAAGAAAGCATAAATGTCTTAATACCCATTGTAGAAACACTAGAAGAGATCCCTGTGTTTTCAGAAACAGAAGAAAAGAAATAATGCAGATAGGTGGGCAACAAAGAGAGAAGGGTAAATGGTTTCTCCCGGATGGGAGGCAGGTAATCAATAAACCCATAGCGCGAGGATTATTAGAGAAGTTACATGAAGGAAGCCACTGGGGGGGGGGTTCAGGCATTGGTGGATGAGCTCCTGAAGCATTATGGATGTGTCGGAATTTATACAGCAGCAAGACAAATGTTGGATAAATTCTTGACATGTAAAAAGGTAAATAGGCAAGCAATCAGGAAACAAAAAGGGGGAGGGAAGCCTCCAGCCCTTAGGCCATTTCAGTGCATTCAGGTACATTTTACTACCATGTAGTACCCATGTAGTAATGCAACAACTAATATGGTTTCTAGAATACCATTGGAAGTAATATGTGCATAAACTGTCCAGATATTTTGATTTTCTCAGGAAACAAGGATTGCTGGCACAAACACCTCCCTTGGAGTTTCCAGTCCACAGATTCCAGATCGGAGATTCGGTGCTGATCCGGAGTTGGAAGGAGGAGAAGCTGGTTCTGAAGTGGGAAGGCCTTTCCAGCTGCTGCTGAAATCCGAAACAGCAGTATGAACAGCAGGGAAAGGCTGGACCCACTACACCCATGTGAAAGGACCAGTGGACGCTCCAACCAAGTGGGAAAGTGTGCCTCAACCTGACCCTTTGAAGTTGATAATAAGAAAAAGCAAAATATAGAGACATTAGAAAAAAGAAAAAAAAAAGGAGGGTTTAAATGTGTTGGTTTTGTGACTGTAAATGTTGGTGTAATTGTGTTGTTGTACCCATTGCCCAGACTGCGCACTGATACACAGAGACTGCAGAGAAGAGTGTGATATAGTGATCATTGAAGAATGGTGTCCCGAGTACCAATCTCAGCCCGTTACAGGCGGTGGTGTCAAAAGTGAAAGGGAAGAAGTACTTTTCCAGGGGTGGACAGAATTGGGACAATGTTAGACCTCAATATGGCCTTGGTTACAGGAGTAATTAAGATATGGATTATAGTGGGAGTAGTAGGGTCCAGGAACATATGCAACGGTCAAAGTATAAATACCTCTGATTACTGTAATGATTGCATTAGAACCACCAAAATGGGTAATAAGATAACCAAAACTGTGACATATCATACTCAGATGGACTGCAAGAAGGTGGTGGGAACATGTGTTAATAATACCACTCGATTTTCCCTGTGTAATGAAACAGGAAGGGTTACATGCGTTGACCCCTCTAGTGTGAAATATAAAACAAAACAAAACAAAACATTCAGATATTTACCTCTCAAAGTGGAAAGAATCTAACATCATTATTATTAGGACAGAACACCAGTACCTCTGCTAATCACAAGAGTAGAATCTGCTTTGATACCTGCTATGCCATGAAGTTTAGTCCCTGGACCACCTGTGGGGGCCTGAGTTGGCAGCGGAGTTACCTTACATATTGGTACTCTGAT